TCCACTTTGGGGGAAAAGGGCAGAAGTAGCATCATGCCTGAACAGCTGAGTGGGATGTTCAGAAGCAGGAGCCTTGACTTCAGTTTACCCAGGTTCCTGCATCCACAAGAAAATTCCTGTCCTTAACAGTAGAAGATGCAAAATTTTAGTCTCTGTGCCCATACAGTGTGTGTTCCCAAGATTTTGAAACTGGAGACATAAGCTTAAGTATTGGGGCTGCTTTCCCTCAGGGAACCTGAGCTCTGGATTTCCGAGCTCCACACGGCAGCTCTGCTCACACACTCTTCCCCTTTCACAAAGCTCTTTGCCTAGGAAAGCAGAATGGGGTGAATTGCCAGAGAAATTTTTCTCTCAGCCCTTTCTTGCATCCTTTACGTAGTGATCTCATTGTTTGTCCCGTGTCCTAAGTCTTTCATTTTCCCTACAGTAAAACAGTGTATTTAAACATGCATATAGAGTTTCTGCCTATTGTCACAGGGTGATGCTGCCACAGTGACATTTGCTCTTCTTTCAGCCGGTTTTCCTTAATGAAGTCCTTGTGAAGCTGCCCACAGACCCTTCAAGTGACGAGCCAGTTTTTCACATATCACACATTGACAGAGTTTACACACTTAAAACTGACAACATTAACGAGCGGTGAGTAGTGAAAATGCAAATCTGAGCTTAGACTTGTTCATTGATGCTGCAGGCTGTGTTTCCAATGAGCTGACACAGGGCCTCTGAGCTCAGAAACGGAGCTGTCTCTTGGCCAGGAAATAAACTCACTTGACTCTCATTTGAATGAGAAGTTTTTTCTGATTTTGTTCTGCTTCTGCAGGAGCTTTTGCAGTGGCATCCAGCCACATCTGCTGCTCCTTGATGTTTCACTTATATCGAAGAACAGTTTAGGGCTGCAAAATCCAGCATCCCATAGGGCTCTTCCCCAGTCCTGAGCAGTCTTTAATGCAACCCAACAGTCCTTAATAAAACAGCAGCTCCATGTCCATTCATTGAGGCCGATTTGGAATGTGGCATAAGGTTAAATCCAAAAACTCCATCACCTTAGTCCATGACTTGACTTGATTTGTGATGGCTCTAAAATTTAGGGAGGGGAGAATGGGGAAGGAGAGTGAGGCAGAGTCATTGAAGATTTTGCTGCCTGTGGGATGACCCTGACTGTAGGGATTGCTCCCTGCAGGACTGCCTGGGTCCAGAAAATCAAAGCAGCATCAGAGCAATACATTGAAACAGAGAAGAGGAAACGAGAGAAGGCTTATCAAGGTACCCACTGAGTTCTGCATTTCCCTTTATCCACCTGGATACAGGGGCAGGCCATTTCCTGGAGGATGCCAGTGTCTCCTTCAGATCTATTGCCAGTTCTTACATTCCAACCAATCTGTTTATTTCTGACCTCTTTGTTCCCAGCTCGTTCACAGAAAACCTCAGGAATAGGACGCTTGATGGTGCAAGTGATTGAAGCAACAGAACTGAAGGCCTGTAAGCCCAATGGTAAGTGAGGGAAACAGAGCAGTTTTATTCCTGAAACATTTGGAAAGGCTTGCTGAGAGCAGTTGGTAATTTGGGAATCCCTGTGGTTTGTCTACAGTTTCTATATGAAATAGTCATTCTTTAGTTTCAGAGGACAGAGTGAAGAGCCAGCCCTGTGCTGCTCTGGAATATAGGATTGCCTGATCCACATCATCTGGCAGCAGCATTGATGTGTGTCCAGGCAGGCTCCAGGTGGAGGGGGAGGTTGTGCTCTGCAGAGGGGTTTCACTCCCTGTTCTGTGTTTAGGGAAGAGCAACCCATACTGTGAGATCAGCATGGGCTCACAGAGCTACACTACCAGGACCCTGCAGGACACCCTGAACCCCAAGTGGAACTTCAACTGCCAGTTCTTCATCAAGGATCTGTATCAGGATGTCCTGTGTATCACCATGTTTGACAGGGATCAGTTCTCACCTGATGGTAAGTGTGAATATTTTGGCAAAGAATGCTTTTTTGTTAGCTGAGGTACCCAGTTCCTCAGCAGCAGTTTCAAGAGCCTGTAGGTCTGCCTGCTGCCTGAGAAGTGTTGTGTAAAAACAATGCCTCAGTACTCAGGAGGTTCAACAGCCTTCCGGAGCCAGTAACTCCAGGCAGTCAGATCTGATCCCAGTCTGGCTTCTGTATCAGACACACAATTATTTTCTTGTCAGACTGAGGAGACAGACAAGTTGAAAGCAGCAGTTCTACTCACAATAGGTGCTCAAAAATAAGGTCCTGGGCTATATTTTCACAGCAACAGCTTGATCAGCTTTCTTGTTGCTTGGAAACTGAGCACGTTTTTGGCAGTCAGTTGCTTCTCATATTCTCTGAAAGGTTAAGTGCTTTTTCAGGGCTCTGACACACAGTCAATTATTGCAAATTTGCAGGGAACTGCCTTGACCTGAGATGCCTTGTGTGTAACCATAGCTCAGTCTTTTCTCCTGTGAGTTAATGTGAGTTTTGCTGGACAGCTGAGTCTTCTTTTTCAGTCCATGGTGAACCTTTTAATGCATACATACAAAAGATGTCATGTAAGAAATAGTCACACAATAAGTTTATGATTTCTGAACAGGACTGTAAACCTACTAGTAATTGTTGAAGATCATTCTAGTAAAAAGCATGCTATATAGGCATAATTAAAAGTTGGCTGAGCCAAAACAGTTGATTTTTTTACTGTCTTTGAGCACCTCAGCTGATTTATAAACAAGTTCCATCACCTAACTCTGACCAGCCAGCTCTGAAACGGAAGAACATTTGAAATTGTGCTTCTAAAAGGGTATTTTCTAAGAGTATTTTTAAAGCCCTTAGGTCAAACTGTGACATCCTAATTCCATAGCATTGTTCTCTTCTAAAAAGGTTCCTTTTTTATCACTGCTGGCTGGTTTACACAGGGCTGGGGTCCATCCAACTGGAAGCCTGGGAGCAGTGCTCTGGAACAGAGCATGTACCCCACAGCATTGCATTACCCTGTCTCACTCAGATTTTTTATGGTCAATATCTCTGCCTAATGAAATTTCTAATTCATTTGCCCAACAGATTTTTTGGGTCGCACTGAAGTTCCAGTAGCAAAAATCAGAACAGAACAAGAGAGCAAAGGCCCCACAACTAAACACCTACTGCTGCATGAGGTTCCAACAGGAGAAGTGTGGGTGCGCTTTGACCTGCAGCTCTTTGATCAGAAAACACTCCTCTAAGAACGCTTTTGTTTTAATTTATGAAGGACAACTGAAGCTAACAGCCTGGACATCTTTTGGTAAAAGATTCCTTGTCCCATGCTGGTTATTAAGCAAGAATTCCTGCTGCTTCTGTGTTTCCTCTTAGTTCCTGGTTGTGCTTAGTTCCTTGCAGTGTTCCCAGTTGTTGTTAATCTATGCAAACACAAATGTTACTGTAAATACAGTACTATTGCTCAGTGCCTTTTTATTATTTTGGAATATCTTGGGTTTGGATGCCAATGTTTCCATTTTCAGGGCCATAAAAAGTATTATGTAGAAATGTGGCACCAAGCTGTTTGTATATTTTACCACTTAGTCTGACAGACAGACTGAGGAATGGTTTAAGCTCAGCACTAGAAATCATTCCATTTGAAATCTTAAAAGTGATATCCACTGGAATTTTCCCATCTCAGGATGATCGTTTTAACGGTTAAATGCTGAAGAAGCCTTAGCACTGGAGAAGTCTCCAATATATTGTATATTCTTTTAAGATTCAAGCATAGTTCTTTACTTGACTTTAGTTCTGCACTGGAATCAGTAACTGCTACTTGATTTTTCTTACTGCTTCAGTTTGATTTATCGTTCTCTGCTGAGACAATGTGGTTGTGAAGAATAGCTAGAAAAAATATTTTAAATACTGTGACCCACAACAATGTGGCAAAATACTCTTCAGCTCTTTGGGTTTTTTCCTAAGTATAAGTTATTTGTGTACATTTCCTTGGTCTTGCAAACCTCCATGTGAATCTTGAAGCTTTGACATTGCCAACATGTATATAGAGAGTAAAATATAAGTTTATTAATTTGTCTACAGATGTTTATTGATGCATAGTGATTTTAAAAAAGTATATTTTATTGTACAGGGGAATGTGAAATAATAAGAAAAGCTTATAGGATTTGTTCAAGGAAAGTTTATCACAAGTTTTAAAGGTTTGTTCTGGGGAGCTGTCACCCCAATATAAACTGTAAAATGAACTGGCTGAAATGAAAGCAAAAACTTTCTCTTGGCAGCAAATCAGGGGTGGTTTAAAAAAAAAGGTTTGTTTATAAATATTTGTTACATTGTAACCATTCTATTCCTCCTTTAAACTGCTTTGTTGCAGAAGCACAGCATGCAGTTCTGAGCAGCCTGTGCCCTTGTTTTCCACGGGTGCAGAAATTCCTCCTGAAGTCTGGCAGTTTCCCACCCAGTCGCCATCTGTGCACCCTCCTATTACTCAGTCAACCTCTGTTACATTTAACAGTTTTCTGTGGTTCAGTATTTCTAATCCTAAATAAAACTCAACCTTGGCAACTCTTGAGAGATTGTGTCTGTACAATGGGAGTTTGGAGGACAGAGAAAATTCAGTTTCCAGGCTCTGAGCCCAGAGCTCTGGTCAGCTGCAGCAGCAGGGAGATGGGACTGCACTGGCACAGGAGAGGGTCAGGTTTGAGGGCACTGGTAGCAGCTGCTGCTCAGCACCAGCTCTGCAGAAAGCAGCAGATGTTTTGTACACCACTTCCCATCTCCTCTCCCCTGCTTATTTCCTGCCTTCTCAAAACACCCACGATGTATGTGAAAAGTGATTTACTGCTTGGACAGTGTCTCCAGGAGAGAACACCAGCACTGTCTTTACTGAGCTCAGCCCAAGTTAAACCTCCTAAAATAGCAGGTTTTGGCCTGTAGAGCATTGAGCTGGATCTGGGAAGAAGAGGAGCAGCATCTCAGACATTTCTTTGGCAGTGGGGTAACAACATTTCAGAACTACATGTTTAAGACAGTAAGTTTATTGCAGTTTGCCCAAAGACCTGCCTGGCCTGCTCTCACTTGCTTTGGCAGTGCATGTAACTTAATTGTGTAAAGGGTACCTTTGATGGCTGTGGTCAGCTGGAGCACAGGTGACATCATTGGCTCTCTCTGTCATTGTGCTAGTTGATGAGTTCCTCGTCCTTTAAAGAGAAGGAAAAACTGTTGCCATGCTTCTGTAAAGATCAGCTGAGCTGTCAGATTATTTCCTTCTACACAGCACACTGCCTGGGAACTCTCCAACCTTCCTTAGACAGGACATCCCCTCCATGCTGCCATGATGGATTTGAAATGAGGAAAACAAACCTCCCCCTGCCATTGCTACTGTGTCTCAAAAACTGGGCTTAGATCCAGACTGTGTTCCTGGTGAAAACCATGTCCAAACACTCTGGGGCTTAAATGCAGTAGGAGTGAGTTAGTAAAACTAGAACACACTCCCCTGGAGCAGCACGTCAGTAACATGCTCTGTTAACCTCCTGCTGGTCAAAGTGGGACTCCAAACCTGCTCACACCTTCCAGCAGTCTGTGCACGTCTTCTGGAAGAATGGATCATACTCTGATGGGTCATAATCATCCAAAAACACATAACCCTGTGGGAGAAGCAGGTACTGGGTCAGCTGTTGGTGGTTAAAACAGTGAGAGCAGACAGCCTGGGTGGGACAGAGCCAAGCACAGCATAACACAGCACCAGAGGTGGTTGGAATCTCTGAATTCTGTGAAAAATGAATTCCCAATTTGCATACACTGCACCTCAGAAAGAAAGTGACTGAACTGTAACAGGAAAATTCCTCCATCCATTTTAATTTATCACAGGCATAAATATATAACAAATTATTTCATGAAGCATTCAGAAATAATGACAGGCTAAAATGCTAACCTCAACTAGGACAGTCAGGACAATGGAATATTTTTTTTTTTTGGAAAATGTTTTTCCAGAGGAGGAAGCCCTGAGATTGGCTCTGTTTGTCAGAGCATGGTGCTAATAACACCAAGTTGGTGAATTTGATCTCACTCACTTCAGAGTTGGACATGATGATCCTTCTGGGTCCCTTCCAACTCAAAATATTCTGTGATGTCAGCAAGACAGATATTAAAAAGAAAAGGAAAACCAGGAGTGAGTGACCCCTCACTAGCCACAACCTTAGGCAGGTCACTGGTCTGCAAGATAGCAGAGTTCCATATCTGGGTTCATGAGCTGACTTTTTCATCTATACATTGGAGTAAAGACCTGAACCTGTGGGTCTCATGGTCCAGGCCACAGCTCCATCTCATCAACAATGCTGCCACAAGTGGAGGAGAAGGCTGATAGCAGGGCAAGGAGCAAAAGAAAATGGGCAAAAAGAAGGGAGGGAAGGGAAAACACATCCAGAATTAACCACATTAACTAACCCACACAAGTGTCTCAAGTTCTGCAAAATTTATCATATGCTGCCAGAGTTAACACAAACTTATACAAATAACATGTAAATATGAAGGGCCTCAGCCTGCTTCTCAGACATGCTGGTGACAGACCTGACACCACAGAACAAGGAGAAAAGGTAGAAGATGATCACTGATCCTGTTGCCCCCCTTCAGGCAGAAGGACACATCCCAGTACATCAGCCATTGTTTCTGGAGGGTACCCAGCAAACTCCTGACCTGGCACAGCAGCTTGCAAGATGGACTGATGCAGACCCAGATATGTGCAGTACCCCCAACACAGCCTAAACCCAGGACTGCTTCAATTCTTTCTCATTCCATGCAATTTAAATGCATGGGTCTGTCATATCAGGCCTTTGAAAAATGTAGTTTGGTCTCTTTAAAACAACACAGCTCCCATGGTATTTTCATTTCTAGATAAGTAGGTTGTTTACAATCTCACAACTCCACTGTGCAGAGGTTTCCACTGACAACAACTGCCTGCTCTCATAAAGTATTATTTTTATGGCAGATTACATAACTGCTTTTATTTTTCTCTTTCTTTTCATTCCTGAGATGCAGAAAGTTTAGCTGTGGGATCTGATATTCAAGAGAGGTGTGAAATTAAGAGCAAAATGAAGAAAACGAACAAGTATTTTCTACAGTGACTGCAATTTGCAATTTTTGTGAATACTGAAATACACAGAACTACAAAATCCACGAGTTGGGTCCATTACCTGCATGAAGACAAACAATTGTTTGCATCTTCCTGTTGCCATATTTTTTCTTTTATGAAGCTTGATCAGTAGCATCCAAGGCCACAAAATCATTTCACTCATGCTCTGCCCACAGAGCTGCAGTACTGCTGTAGCTGAACTCCTGAGACTTGGGAGTGCAGCCCACACCCTGCTCACTCAGCCTTTGGTTTGAGCTGACAGAGCTCAAGGTTTTCCCACTAAGTTGTCCAGCCCACAGAGGCAAACACAGCTCAGTAGGGTGTTCTGTCTCACCATATTCAGAGCCCAGCACGTGTTCACTGCACCAAGCAATGCTGCTGCTCATAGCTGCTGGTGAACACACACAGCTGTAACACCACCATTATAGAAGTCCTTCAGAAAAGTAAGTTACAGACAAGGTATAATTGAACTCCAGGTTACTTCACAAGAAGGAAATAACAGCTAAACCCCTGTACTTGTCCACAACCCTCTGTATACAACCCCCTCCATGACAGAAATGTGTTTGTCATTGATACCTTCTTTGTAAAGTAGTTTAAATATTGAGAGAATTGTTCTTGTCTCCTTTTCCACACTTCTTTCTCTGACTGGCTGTCCATTTTTTTCTTCATTTTTTGCATAAGTGGCTCTGAAACATTATCAAGATATTTTTTGTACAGAAGCTCTGTCTTTCTCAGATCTAGGAAATCATTCTGCTTCAAATATCTGTCCAGCTCCTTAAGTAAGAAAAAATGGAAAATAAAAACCATATAAACTATTGATCAATAAGATTCCACATGTAAAGGTTTGCAGCTTGGCTGACCTGACTGCTCACTGCTCCAAGGCATCTATTTTCCAGCCCTTCCTTCTGCTCTTCCCTCTCTCCACTTCTCATCACTTATTTCCAAACTTGCCCTTTCAAGAGCTCTGGCATTCAGACCCTTAATTTTTGAAGCTGTGGTACAAATTTGGCAGACAATGACTCACTTTTTCCCACCAGGTTATTGAGCAGAAATCACTGCAGAGCAGGGGGCTGCAAGCACCAGACTGTGCAAGACAGCCTGCAGGACCTTCCCTGCAGCACTGGCAATCTGCTGGATCAGATCAGAGCAGCCCTCCTGCCCTTTGCTCACAGCACCACTGTCACAAATTACCACACCCACAGAACAAATATTAGTGCAAACAGGCAGTTCAAGTCACCTGGGATTCACATTTAGGGTTGCTACTTCAGTCCTATCCAGAGTGGACTGAAAAGACAAAAGCTCATAACTCTAAAACAGTTTTTCAAGAATACAGGCAAATAACATTTTCTCAAGAATCACTGTTTAGGAACTAAAAATACTGACAGGAAAGCACATAGCAAATGAGAAAACAGCACACTTCTTACCCTCACAAATTTTTCTCTGTCCAAGATGCACTGAGCAGAAGCAATGATGTCTCGGCTTTGATCAGCTACTGCCTAACAAAACATGAAAAAAGCCCACATGAGGTGAAAGCAGGACTTAGAGCAGGAGTTAAATTTACTTCTGAATTCAAAATAATGACTAGTGTTGTGATTAAAGGCACATTATACCACAACCCAGCTGGCAAATCCTTGCAAGATTTGCTCTGAACAGTTGGGTTAAGTAGCAACAGCAGAGCACAGGAAGAGCTGGGAGGAGAACTGGAATGTACATGCTCAGGCCTCCTTGGCTGCTCCTCACCACGACCACACCACCTCCCTCTTGCCACTGTTTCTCACCTATGCCAAACACGTGGCGCTTGAACTCCTACACTCCAGACAGGGAGTACAGGCAATGCACACCAGATCTATCCTTTGGGGATATAATGTATTTTACGCATAGAATGGAATATTGGCCTGCTACTCCCTGTGCTTAATATTGATTTTTAATTCCAATTGATGGTGTAGTTTTCAGTCATGTCTGCCTTGGCCCTGCTGACCAGCTCCACACTCCTAAAGGTTCATTACACTAAGATGAGCAGGACATCACACATCAGAGCAAGCAAGGAAGAGACAAAAAGTATTAAAAATTCCACCAAAAACAAATGAGAAAGAGGAAATCTAAATTTCTGGCATGTTTCAAGACCCTTACATCCTACTATTTGAAACAACTGATATGTTGTATTATGCCTGATGAATTTACTTCATCTAGTCACAGATCCTTTCTACAGTCAGCAGTACAAAGACATGACCACCACTCCAGCTAAGAACCATCAGTGGAGAATGGAAGAGCTTTCCTTCAGGATGATACACATGTGAAGGAGTTGGGTGTCCTTTCACTGAAGGAATGAAGTCCCTTCTCCCTGGAAAAGGGCAGGCCCAGGGGCAGCCTCATCACAGTGCTACTTACAGGGCAGCTACAAAGAAGATGGAGGCTCTCACTTCACCAGAAGCCACAGCAAGAAGACAGGGGATGAGAGGTACAAGTTGCACTGGCAGAGGTGTCATCTCAATGTAAGAAATAAATTTTTACAGTGAGATCAATCAGTCCCTGAACAACCTCCCCAGGGATGTGGTAGAGTCCCCACCACTGAGGGTTTTCAAGGTGCAATTGGCAGGGAGCTGGATACCCTCACCTGGTGTCTCTTTCCCATGAAAGGCTGAGCCAGACATCCTCCAAGGTCCCTTCCAGCCTGGGCTGTTCCATAAGTCTGTGATTCTAACTAGTCACACGCTTGTTTCAGCTTTTATGGGAAACTTTTCCACACACCAAACTGCAAGTTATTCATTAAAACTGACTCAAAAGGATGCAAGAGCTGAATAAAACCCATTGAATCTGTTGTTATTTTTAGAATTCTTTGTTCTCCTTCTCCATGATAAACATCTCTCAGATTTTACTGAACTTTGAAAATAAGTTTTTCATTCTCCCCTTCATAATTTCTATTTAATTCCTCCACTCACACCTTCACACAACAGAAGCCCTTCCTTCTGTGTTAGCCAATCTTTGGCAATATTTTCCTTCCCAAAATGGTTGCTGAAATCAAAATTATTGGCTGTGCCACTCTGCTAGTGCTGAGGAGAATCTCTGAATAAATGAAAAGAAAGAAAAAGGTCTGCATAAAAAGACAACCTGCTTTACAAAGATCTGGTTCTCACCCAGGTTCCACAACCAAGGCACAAACTAGGATGGAATGGTAAGAATTAATACAAGTGCAACAGCCATTTCTGAGTGTGCTGTGGAGGGACAGACTGAAGCCCAAAGCTCCTGCTCAGGGCTCACAGATGACTTCAGGCATGGAAGCCTGGGAGCATGGCCAGACCAGAACACAGTGCCAGGATTTCAGTGGGATTGGTGGCCAGTTCCAACACAGGACCCAGTTACACACCTGTGCTCCCAGTTACAGATACTGCTCTCTGTGTTGCTCACAGCAGAACCTACAGCTGAAGGAATGCTGGGGTCACTCACCTTCCAAGGCTCTTGCTGCTTGGGTTTTCTCACAGGTTTCCCATTTGCAAATCTTTGTAGCCAGGAACCTTTTGAGTAATTCACACTACCCATGGCTGGATTAGTCTGGGAAAAACATTAAAACTGTCAAAACCCATAAAAAACTATTGCATTAACAGCAAAATCTAAATTTTCTTACAATTCCTACTGATCAGTGAAACAGATGTCTAAAGGACTTCTAACTGCTGATACCAGCAGCATTTTCCTGTCACATGAAGTAAAACACAGAGATGAAGTATCAGGTTAACAGTCAGACATTGCCTCTGGTGGAACCGTCTGTCCTCATCTCCACACACCAGTTTGTTTCCAAGAACAGTCACTGACAAATTATTTGAAAATGCTTGTCAGCTCTGGAAACATTTCAGAGTTATCAAATTATACCTCCAGACTATTACTTCTTTCTTTTGTGCCTTTTTCAATCAGATAAAATCCCTTTCAAGTAATTGCCACATCCCACTATGGCTATATTTTATTGGTTTTTAAAGTTAGCTCTACCAGATGAAGCTTATGCTGAAGTGCTAACTCAGCTCCAGTCAGAAAATTCCATCTTCTCTCTTGTATGTGCATCAGGATATGTGGATTGATTTATCACAGAGACAGTGCAACCACAGAGGCAAAATGCCCTTTACAGGAACCTCCATTTAAACCCCTATTTATCTCAGATTCACTGGAGACACACTGCTTCCAGGAAACAATGGATTCACAACATTACTTGGGTAAAGAATGGAACAAAAGAAAAGCTTATTTCTGCACAGATACTGACCCCAAGTCTTGAGACAGAGCTTCCAGTTTTTAAAAAAAAAATAAATCTGATATTCAATTACTTTTTGCAGTATCTAGTTATAAGAATCAGCAAGGACTCTTGGGTATTCATAGAACATAACCTTTTTTTTTTTTTTTTTTTTGTAGAAGACAACACTTAAGAGTTTATTCTGTCCAATCCAGCGCTTTAGTGACAATATCTGACTCCCAGCTTTCCTCTCTGGAGTGCAGATTCAAATTTCATGCCATCAATTCAAGGTAAAGTCTGTAATCTACATCTTTATTGGTTTCATTTTATAGTCCCTGCTCTTGTACACTGACAAAAACAACTGCTGGGATATTCCTGCATCCTCTTTCCTGTCTTTTCTGACTGAAAGAGTCAGAAATCACAGGAGAGCATATGTTGGAAGGGGGTTCAGGAAGTCACCTGAACACCTCGTGTTGCCTTTTTCCCAAACTGGAAATGAAACTCAAGATAATTTTAGTAAGGAGGTAATATAAAAGGGGATCTTTATTTGAAGCCTTCAGAGGCAGCTATGGAAAGATGTCCACACAAACCCCTCCCCGGGGTGAGTACATTTTTATAGGTTTTAGGAAACTAGCATAATTGATAAAAAGCAGTCATTAGGAGGACAAGTGGTGATGCAATTCCCCAAGGTGAAGCCCCTTCTCTGGAGCCCCCCTTCAGCACTAGTTGTACTTTGTCCATGAGAATGTATCCCAAAGAGCTGTTCTCAGCCTTCCCTCCCAGGAAGAACCAAGACAGGATAGAGGTCTTGTACCTCTAAAGGCCTGGAGCTCTGGAATTTGATTCTCTTTCTCTTTAGGGAAAGGCCATGGAAAAGTATTGGGAAAAGTAGCTACTAATACAAAAGGTGACAGAGTTACAAATATATGTGTGAAGAATACAGAGAACACATGAAAGAAATAAAAGGCAAAACCCAAATTACATCAATCTCAGTATCAGCGAGAAGAAAAGCAAACCTCACAGGACCAATTTCTGATACAAAATTAACAGGCAAACAGCAAGGGCTGAAGAGATTTGGATACCTGACAGGCTATAGATTTGGCATTAGAAAAACCCAACACACCTTCCTATGAGCAATACATCCTCCCTACCTGCACAGGTGCCACAGGCTCCTGTGTCATGCCACCATTTACAGATTTCCTCCACCTCACAAAGACAGGCTGAGCACAAAGCAGAGGAGGTGCTTGATCTCCTCAGAGAATTGGGATCCCAGGGGAGATAAAACAGAGCAAAGACAGAGAATGTGCCTCTGCAGCAATCTGCCTTCAGGAACCCACAAGTGGCAAAGACTCTAGCTGCAGATTTTCCCCTGCCACCAATCTTCATAATTCAAGCTTCTACTGAATCTTAATCCTTTCTTTTTCTGCCTTTTTTTGGATTCTTGCTGGGAGATGCCATCCTCCTCTCTGCAAAGGCAGGGCTCACTGATATGAGACAGCAGCTGTTTTGCAGGTCTTGAAACTACAGATTTAATCACAGGCTTAGACAGAAATAAAGGATTTCCAGAATCTGAGTGGATAAAACAAGCATTTATGCAATCTAGTGGCGGCAGTCTGCAGATGCCAAATCCCATGAGCAGGTTTGCTGTCCTGTATCAGGACATTTGTTTGACTGTGCCAGATCCCTGGAAGTGTCCAAGGCCAGGTCGGATGGGGGTTGGAGCAATCTGGTTTAGGGGAAGGTGTCCCTGCCCATGGCAGGGAGTTGGAACTAGATGATCTTAAAAGTCCTTTCCAATCCAAACCATTCTGTGATGATTAAACCTGAGAACAACCTAAAAATCCTTCCTAGATAAACATGCATCCTTCTGCACTGTCAGCAGTGCAGCTCCCTGTGCCCAAACATGAGGCTCTGCAGCAGCTTTGAGGAAACGCATTTTAATCACCCTGTGACAAATAAAGCACCCTCACAAATGCCTCAGTCCTCTCAAAACCGCGTTCAGCCACGTGTCACCGCACGGATGTCACCGTGCACAAGCACAGCCGGCTGCCTGCACTGGTGCCTTGGTCCCCCCGCATCGCCTCAGGGGCAGAGAACGGTGAGAGAGAACCAGTCTCTGGTGCGAACAGGGCAGCTCTGCGAAAAGAACCTTTCAGAGTGAGAATGCTGAGCTAACACGCAACGCGTGCATGCCCGGAGGGGCCTGGCATGGCCCTGCACTTCGGAGGCAGCGATGCGATAAAGGCGGGCGAAAGGGAAAGGCTGAGACCCTCTGGGCACGGCTCGTCCCGCACCCTGCGCGGTGCTGAGGCGGCTTCTGCAGGCCCCAGGGAAGAGGAGGCGGCCAGCAAAGATCCACATCTACCACCCCCGTGAACACAGCCCCGTGAGGCTCCAGGGGCGGCAGCACAGGGCTACAATCGAAGCCAAACCCGCCCGGCACGGCCCCGCCCCGCTGAGGGGAAAATGGCGGCGCGGCGCGGCGCGCCTCACATCAGTCGCACGGCCCTTCCGTGACCGAAAAAAATAGTCCCTCACCCATCACCCGCAGCCTCTCGGGAGGAGGAGATGCCGCCCGTGGGGAGAGGCACGCGGATACCCGCTGGGACAGGGCACAGAAACCTGCGGGGACAACGCCGCGGCAACCCTGATCTGGTTCCGAAGACAGATGGGGCGGCGGCAAGTACGGATCCCTCCGCGCCCAGCGGCGCAGCGTCCCACACTGCTATGGTAACTCCAATACGACCTCCCGCCGGCAAGGCTTCCCACCAATCAGAGAGGGGAGCGCGCGGTGAGCGAGCCAATCAGGAGCGAGGACGGTGCGCCGAGCCGAATCGAGCCGAACGCGGCCGAGCCGAAGCGAGCCGACGCAGTCCGGCTCACTGGTTTATTATTCAAAATTCATAAAATCGTATTACGAGATTTCACACATTCCCCTGCAGTGCTGACCATGCCACCAAATTTGAAACTGCAATCAGCCAGAGATACTATCAGATGAGAGAAATGTCAGGGCTTTTCCCCCCAGCAGTGCTGCACTGACACACAGATCTCCCAATAACTGTGTGCCACGAAAACGGGATGTTTCCTGGAGCCTTTATACTTTTTTTTTTTAATGTATTGTTATGATTGGTTTGCCAGCGCCCCAGGCATGAAGATACCCTTGTGCCCAGCTGCTTGCCATTGCCCTGGAATGGGATCCCCCGGCACAGCCCGCTGTGCCCAGCCTGCGTTCATTAACCTGGCCAGGGACTTGCGACAGCAGCGTGTCAGAGTCAAAGCCCTGATATCAGTCTGGAAAGAAAGGCCCCCATCCTCCTGGATCCCCCACACTCTTAGTCTCTATGTTATTAATTTTGTCATTTTTATCCACTGTCATTGTCTGCCAGTACCCTTGAAGGACTCAGGCTGAGAAATTTAAGAAATAACACACTTTATTAACAAATACACTGATCACAGAAGACTGTCACAGAGTCGGGGCAGAGATTGTCACTGACAGTAAGAACAAGTTTGAAGGGATCCACAAGCTCTGATCACCAGTGAAAGTTTGAGATAATCAATGTGTACAGAGTAGGGATCCTACCCAACAAGTGTGCCCACAGGGGAAAAACCACAATCAGCCCATCAACCCATCCCAGAAGTTATGTGGAGCCTTTCCTAACTTGTCCCCCTCTTAACTCACTATCAGACTATTTCTTTACACTTAGGTGAAGCTTGAGTGACTCTAGTCAAACATACTTTTGTTCTCGATTGGTGCAAAATTCCCTCACTTTGCTCTCAAAGACATAGTTAACAAAATAGAGAGTGTGTGCTCAGGGACGGGTGGTCACACTTTGGGTGGGTAACTTTGGGATGGATGTGTGTCACATCTTCACAATGAGAGTACATCTGAGGAGAGCGATTTCCCCACAGCTGCTGACTGAGGAACAGGACATCTCCTCCATCCTAGGCCTAGCAGATGCTGTGTGGTTTGTCAGCTATGAGGTACCACTGAGTTCCCATTCCTGCAGGGATCACAACAGAGCCATGGGGTCTTCATCCTGCTCCACCTTCCATTTCATTCCTCCTCAGCATTTTCTTCAGGCTGTAAGGGGTGTTGCATGAGGAATTATCATGGAATTAATTCAGTGCTTGCCAACTGCATTCCCTCCTTGAAATCACAACTGCCTTTATACCCTAAAATTTCCTAATGTTACAGCTTCTGTTGGAATGTGATTATAACTTTAGCCTCAAGATCTCCCCCCAGATGTGTTGTCATTATAGTACAAGAGTTCTATTGTCATTATATTGCAAAGATTCCATATTGCTAGAGTTTTGTATCTCCTTG